GCACAGGCGTTTCTGAACATTTAGTCTGGAATCACACATAGCCATCTGATTGACCAGGTCAATCTTGTTTAGTGCAAAAAGAATCCCTTACCTGATCATGGAACACTTGCTCATATTTATATTGTTCTCCCCCCTGCAAGACTATTTCAGCAAGCTTATTCTGAACCACTCTCGCTTGTTCAGCATCTTGATATGCAGTCAAGGTGCGTGGATTCCGATGAGTACAAAATACAGGTTAATCACAAATTAACTGCCATAGAAATTGAAGACTAAGCAATCCATTGAATCATTTGTCTCACATAGAAACAAAAACACCCTTACATCAAGGACTAATTTCTTATTCCACGCAACAAACTATTTCAAAAATTATCGTCTCCTGAACTTTTGACTTGAGCAAACAATTAATAGAACAATATGACCTCTTAGTCATGAAAACTTAATACATACCACAAGTTAGAGTTGCATCAGATCGGTGCACGGCACGATAATAGCTCTTGAAATTTCCTGTGGTTTCAGATAGAGGCATCTTTTGAATTTAGAGGATAAAAAAAAACTTTGAATAATTTATTCTAAAGCTAGATTAGTCATCAATAACTGGATTAGTACTCCCACAATCTTATATTTTGTTTTACCCAACCCAATTTATACACCGTATTGGACTAATGAGAAGAAAACATAACATGCACATTATTAGTTTGAAAAGCAGAAACCTCTGACATAATTTATCTAGAAGATATTCTGCCAAAGATAATGGTCTCCATCAAATTCCAATGTCCAAAAGCAAACGGAAGCAATAAACTCCAATTTTCGAAACCAAAGTAGATGTACCTTATCTCTGCATTTAGCTTAAGCATTTTCCCAGTAAACTCATCGCTGCCAAAAACAATATCAATCATAAATTTAGAAGTAGGTAAGGTAAGTAGTAAAATAGAAATATATGTTTACATGTATATGCATGCGTATGCTTACCTTGAGAAACTCTCTTCACTCTTGACATCATTGAGGCACAGTTCACGAAACCATGAAACAGAAATGTATAGGGCATCAGGACCATTGGTTGTGCATACAAAATAATCAATTATAGAGGAAGTAATGAACCTTGAGAGCTCCCAATTCAGCCCCAAGTATCAATATCTCATCGTTCATCACAGTAATCCTTGCCTAAACCAAATACAAGCAATCACGTCGTCAAGAAATCACTACCATTTTACTGAAAAGAAGTAACCAGCAAATATTCAGTTCCTTCGCAGCAACCACGTCAGGAGAAAAACACAATAAACGAACATGAGATTACCGGAAAACAAAAAAAAAAAAAAAAA